GCTTCACAAGGGATATTCATTGTTTTTTTTATAGTTCTTATGTTTTTAAATACCGCATGGAGTCGCAGGTAACAACTAGTGTATACTAATATTATAAACAGAAAAGATTTGTATTTATGTTTATGTTGCAATAATTAAAAAACAACTGGGCATATTTAAAAAAATATATCACCGTTAGAAAGATAGTTTATCTGTGAATCTCAGGTAGATATTTTAACTTCAAGTGGGCGAAGTCGCGAGCAACAACTAGTATGTTTATAAAATCATTATAGGATGTGATAAAACGACACAGTTTCAAGGAAGTTCGTTTCCCGCGATAATAAAAAATAAACTAAACTAAATCTCACTTATTACGTTACTGCCACTCGATAATTCCCGAGAGATCTCAAAAATTCATAACAACGCTCGCCGACGCTTGCTCGGAATAAAAAAAACTAAAGCCTTACCTCCGGGGAATATCTCCTAATCAGGTATCAATACATTCCGTGTATAAAACTGAATATATACATTTCTTATATATTTTATATTTATCGGTAATAGCAAACGAGATTTCCGTTCTTATAACAATTATTTTTAAGTTTTAAACAGGCTTGTTCCATTGTGAGATTCTGAAGTCGTAGACATATATTTTAGCATGTCAAAACATAAAAATTTATCGGAACACAAAATAACAAATTATTAAATTGTCACTGCATACTCCAAAAAATGTTATTAAACACTGTTCAATTAAATAATATATTTTAACCTCTTAATTGCCTCTGATTAATATTATGGACGTCAACTATGCGTTACGAATATTTAATTATTTATTCTAAAAGATACGATTTCGATGTTGTTTCAATAACTATGATTTGTCTAAAATCCGCACTTTAAAAGTTCAACATTTGTTTGAGGTAAATTGCGTTTCAAATACTAAAGTTTTTATGGCAAGGCCCTCAGTTTTTCAGTGTTTACCAAGTGATTTGATTTTAACAGTGGTAGTGCCCGCTTTAACATCTTAGCACGAATGGGCCGGCACGCCCGGTGTAATACCACGACCACACAGAAAACAGGTGTGAAATGGAAGCAATTCCGTGTTTCGTCTGATGAGTGTGGAGTGCCGGAGGCCTAATTTAAATCCCTTTCTTTTTACCACTCTTTTTTTATAAGGAGAGGATGGGAAGGGGAAGTGGATTTGACGGAGGAGGAGATGCACAGGAAGCGGAAATATCATCTTTATGTGCTTCGCCTCCTCTGTCGAATAACGATGTCTATGGGCAGCGGTCGCTTCGCCATTTTGGCAGATTGAGGTGGCCGCTTGCTCGTTTGCCACCTTATGTTATAAAAAAAGATGATTTTTTTTATTTATATCACGAAATCTCTATTTCCGTGCGAACAAGTAATTAAGGTATCTCTATTGTCGAATTAATTGCTTCACATCAGAAAATAACCTTATGTACGCTATCAAATTTAAATCTAGTTTGAACTGGAAAATTGAAATCTATTAGAAGATACGAGAGTTTCACGTTTATTAGAAAAGTTTGCGTACTTTACAAGGTTATGTTAGTTTACAATTAACTGTTTATCGGCGGTTGGAAGGTTACAACATCTTTAACCTTTGGTATGCTATACGCAATCATGTGAACAAAATGTTTCGAGTTACAGTTTTACTTGATTTAATTTACATGTAAAGTAATATAGATGACTAGCTGTTCCCGTGCGGCTTTATCCGCGTTGAATTATAAAAACATTATTTTATTATTTACATTTGTCAAATTATCAAAATGACATGACATGACAAACCTTGACAATCTTACTTTCTTGATGTTGGCAGCAACTTATGGTCACTTTCCCACATTAGGGTTTTTATCCAATATATTTATCCCCTAAGTTCAATGGTGTGAAAATATATAGCCTAAAGCGTGACGTTAGTGTAGAGCTTTTTATCAAATAAATAATTGTTCAAAAATATGCTGTAATTGCTGATATCTTAGGCGACAAAAAAGTGTGTGCTTACGCTTTATTATAATAGTATAGATATCGAATATTTGCACAGTCAAAGAATTAAATTCTCTTCCCATATTATCATAGAGCAAACTGTAAAGAGAGTTTTCTTACTAATAATTGCGGAAGTTTAGATGGATGGATGTTTGTTAGTTTGTAGTCTAGCTAAACGGATCTCGATAAAATTTGGCATAAATATAAAAAGTAATCTGGAAGAACGTAATAGACTGCATACTTTTGTATTTTTTTAGACGCAATAATAGTCGCGGGCAAAAGGTGGTATTTAATAATATTATTGAAACCGGCGCCTCCGGTTTTATCCGCCGCCTCTCTCTTACTTTATTCTCAAGAGTTGAACGTAATAATAAATAGGGTGAAATATAAATTTATAAATCTGGTTTATTTTAAGACTGGTTGGTAGTTACTACTGTACATATAATAAAATTAGAGTGTCTGATTGTAATATAAAAACGAAAATTTCAGATTTCGGACAGATGATGTATTGGCGTTGCTGATGACAAAAATCGTATTTGCAAATTTTTTGTCCGTCTGTTAGTATGTGTGTCAGTCCGCAAGCCGCGTGTAACGGGTAAACTCCGAAACGGCTGGGCCGATTTCCACTGGACTTCCACTCAAGGGTAGCTGACTTAGACATATTAGAGGCTACTTTTTATCTTAATATTGTGTGAACGAAGTTGCGGGCAACAGTTTTGCCCGCGACTCAGTCCGCGCGGATTTAAAAAGAAACTTAATTAGTAACATATGTGTTCTTCCAGACTATGTTCTACACTACGCCAAATTTCAGAGAGTTTCTTTGAGTCTTTCTAGAAGATACGTAGTACATACCATCTATTTTTTTATCATGTATAAACCAGTGCTTATCCACTATCCCCCCCTAGACCAAAGTAAAGATATAGTCGAAGGATGGTACCCGCTAGTTTAGCAAGTACCTATTCACACTGCTCTTGATGGCACCCACGTTATAACTTGACGGGAACACTGACGCCGGCAACTTCCACTCCTTTGCTGTGCGCACGAGAAACGATGTCTCGAATCGCTTCGTTCGAACCCGCGGCACTTCAACTATGAAAGGATGGAGAACGGCCGTACGTCCAGATGTCCGATAGTAAAAAGGGGATGGAGGAATGAGTTCGTACAATTCCTGCGCACATTCACCAAAAAAAATCGCATTTCTAACATTAATAATAATGCTTTGTGCTTTATTAAGGCAACGTGTTAACTTTTTCTCATTCTTTTATTTAAATTTAAAAGTGTTTCAAGTGAATACAAATTAGACATTTTAATATATTCGCATTAAACACACCCTTACTAAATAAAGAGTAAAATCTGTCTTGAATACGAGATTAGGTTACCCTTCTGTTGCGTCTTGTTTTTTCCCAACAGAAGTTCATTTCGTATAATTAACGTTCAGATTTATTCACTCATTGTTTTAAAAACTTTTTTTTATCAAATTTGTATACCAAATGACCGATGATTTGTGAACGTACTAGCTTTTGTCCGCGACGTCTTTCGCGTTTATGTACAAAAAACTTGGTAAGTAGCCCATGTTTAGACTATGTTTATATCTGTGTCAATTTAATCGTGATCTGTTAAGTTGTCTTGGAGATGTATTAACAACCATCTATACATCCAAACTTTTGCATTTATAGTATAAAAAATAAGGAGATAAGTGTGATTGTGGAAGGGGAAATAAAAAAATGGTTATAATTCTAGTTCTTAAATCTTACATAGCCATATTTTTAATATCTTACTAATATTATAAATGCGAAGGTTTAGATGGATGTTTGTTAGAGTTTGTAGCCTAAACGGCTGAACAGATTTCTATGATAAATTGGTTAAGATAGAGATGTAGAGGACATTCTGGAAGAACGCATAGGGTACTCACTTTTGTTTTTTTTTTTATTCTAGCTAGAAAGCTAGTATGTTCATAAAACATTATAAACTTTGTTTTTAAAAACTAAAATAAAATAAAGTGTATTGTGTATAATTCCCAGTAAAATTTGTTAAAAACATCCTTGAGAAATAACAATGATATTGTAGATACGTATGTGTTTCTAATAAAACTAAGGTCGACAACTTTTTAACAGCAATAAAAAACTTAAAATCTGCAAAATTTAACAAGTCAGACGCTAATAGCATTATAAATTAGTTTACTCTAACTAAATTTAGTTTAAAATGTTGCCATCTTAATTATTTCAATAAACCCCACGTTCCACGACCGTAAACATGTAACAACCGTAAATGAATACTTACCAAACATCTGCCTTTCCAATTTACCCCCCGACGATAAAAACTCTACAACTTTTATTACCGCTGTAATCGCGCCTCCAAATATAATTCAGCTAGTAAACCGCTCTTTTTCACTAGTGTTGTTCGATATCGATGTCGATAAAATATAATACGATGTAAATTTAAAATGCTCTAACAGCAAATGTTAAGCATAAACATTACTTTACCGAACGATACTTTATTGAAAATAAATTACCGCCTCTTGAAATTAAAAAAAAAGCCGATTACATTGCGATGGCATGGTAATGCCTATAGTGTTAAAACAACAATCGATAAAAGTTTAACTGTAGAAACTCTTCTATTATATTTAGAATTACGATAACATGTTAATAATTACAATTTCCAATTTTCTAGTTCATATTTTTTTATCGATATTAAGATTATCTTATCGATTTAAATCGACAAACTGTCACATGCCTAATGTCTATTTATTATCAGGTGTTGGCCATATTTTTTATTTACGCTCAGAGCCGGCGCGCTCACTATTAGCTTGAAACTATAAAACTTTTCTCGTCTCTCTTGAATCTAGAATCGTTAGAAAAAAGTGTAGAAAAAAACCTATTTCCTAAAATTACATTTTTTCCTTTTCTGAAGTTGTTAACTTAAATATTTGTTGTTGAGAATTTTTTTTTAAACAAATTTCCACCTGACAAGAGACAGGTTAAAGTAACGTATTGGCTCTTAGATTATAAATTACATGAACTCACCCAAATCTTCATTCTCCTGAAGACAGAAGCCATTGTCCAGTAAAATTGTCAATAACAGCACACAAACTATACCACCAGACATGTCCGCCATCTTGGATTTCAAGTATTTAACAGCATTGTATTTTATAATTAAAAATGGCTATCACTTAAACCGGTGTTTACCTGAAAAAGAAAACATGCATACTTTAGTAAATTAGTTGTTAAAAATAAGTGTTCTTCTATCAATTCAAAACGTACATTATAAAGAACCTTTCGAATTGAACTAGTCGCATAAAATGTTACAAGTACATATTAATTAGTTTTTGCACGCGACTCCGTCCGTGTGGAAAAAAAACCTGTGTTCTACCAGACTATCTTCTACATCTATTCCAAATTTCATCGAGATCGATTGAGCGGTGTAGACTACAAACTCTAACAAACATCAATCCGAACTTCCGCATTTCCGCATAATATTAAAGTACAAAGTAAAAATTACAATGTCAAAGTAATCTACTAACCTTTTATATATAAATTCAAAAATTACTTTCTGGTATATGCAACGTACATCAGATTCCTAAACATTAAATTTAACGTCGACATTAAAATGACAAACGTTCAGAGATAAAAATGTGTAAATATCGGAGTTTTTGCGCTGTGTCCATTCTCGCAGATTAACGGACAAACATCCTTGCAAATGTATGTTAATATACGCTATCTGACCACACCAGTGACACTGTATTTGCATTGTGTTTTGCAAAAACGGTTGACTTAGTTAAATTCAAATCTATACTAATATTATAAAGAAGAAATATTTGTATGTTTATATGTATCGAAATAAATCAAAAGGTATCGGACCAATTTCAAAATTAAAAAGCTAAGTCGTCATTGAGTAACATATGCTTTTTTTAATTCCACGCGGACTAATTTACGAGTAATAAGAAGACAAAAAAGTTGAGGGTTAATATGCGAAATAGGAACTAACAGGCGTTCGAGGGAACTTTTCAAAGGGGTGTACTAGATAATTTTTGGAAATCTGCGGTAAGCTTTCAAATTCATTTTCATGTAACATCACTGTTAAAATCACGAATACTTAACATGAAACAAAACTGTTCCGTTACTAAATCTTTACTTTAAAAACTGTTATCTTTATCCTGCCTAAGTAATAATGACAATTCTGCAGGATTTAATCTATGATCAACAACCCAGACGAAAGAAACTGATTATCTGTAAATTTTTCATACAACGTATGTATTATGATTATTCCAGCTTTCGCCCGTGACTCCATCCGCGTAGAATAAAAAAAAGCCTTTGTGTTCTTCCAGACTATCCTCTACATCTATACCAAATTTCATCGAGATCCGTTCAACCGTTTAGGCTACAAACTCTAACAAACATCCATCTATCTAAACTTTCGCATTTTTTTACATAAGTGAGATATTGAGATTGTCTATAAATCCATCTATACCGCGTTATCCGTAACATATAAAACAATAAATATACTTCAAATATCTCAATATTAAACACATTTTGTGATATCACTATTAGCCAATATACTGTTTTATCGAAAATTCGAATCTGGTAACGCGAACGGAACGAGGTTGATCAAATATATTACAATATCGACCGAACTAATGAAAGTCACATTATATAAATATCTAATCTTTATTCTTACTAATAATAAAAATGTAAAAGTTCAGATAGATGTTTGTTAGAGTTTGTAGCCTAAACGGCTGAACGGGTTTCGATGAAATTTGGTATAGATATAGAGGATAGTCTGTAAGAACACATACTCTATTTGTTTTTTTTTAAATTCCACGCGAACGAAGTCGCGGGGAAAAGCTAATATTAGTAAAGATGTCTTTAGACAGCGGTCCCTAAAGCTTATTTATTTTTTGAATCATAACTACTTATCACGTTAAAAATATTCAAATCTCATACTTCATTTGGTTGTCTAAATTACATAACTATCTCTGATAGTTTCTGATCTGCGAGAGTCAGTTACTAACAAAGTTCGCAAACTCCAAATAGAGTCAGCAGTCAATTACAAGATACGATATTCAGCTGTTTGATAAACCATTAATTCATCGGATTTTATTCATTTGTTGACTAGCTTTTGCCCGTGACACTGTCCCCGTGATATAAGTAAGTAGCCAATGTGTTCTTCCAGGCTAATCTAAACATGTGTACCAAATTTCATTGAGATCCCTTCATCATTTAGGCTAAAACTCTAAAAAACATCCATCCATTTAACCTTCCCATTTATAATATTAGTATGATAGTACTAAATTCATTTTTAATTTATCATTAACTACTAAATTAGTTTTATTTTACTATTGATTGGTAAATATTTCTAATAGTTCATAATTTAGCCATGATTGTATCATTAGTCGGTTTGTAAACTAACAGAGAATCAAATTTTACGGTAACATGTTGTAGAAAGATGTTTTACTAAACATAAAAGTATATATTTCCTATGTTACAAAGATAAATTAAAAAGAGCACAGATAAAATAATAATTTTCATATTTCATAGCACTAGTATATTATACAAGAATATATGAAAAGTTTTCTCAAAGCGTCTGTCTAAAGGCGATAAGCTTAAAACTATTAAACGGATTTCCATGTTCGGTCATAAAAACCTACACTAAGTTTGTTCAGTGACACTAAACAAGTTACATTAAAGATATTGACTTCATTTTTTTTTTATTAACAAGCTTTCGCCCGCGGCTCCGTCCGCGTGGAACTAAAAAAAAAAAAGTAAATAGCCTATGTGGTCTTCCAGACTATCCTAATCCAAATTTCATCTAAATCCGTTCAGCCGTTGAAGCTACAAACTCTAACAAACATCCATCCATCCATCCATCCATCTAAACTTTCGCATTTGTAAAATTAGTATGAAGTATGATGTAAATACGATGTTTTCGTTACTTAGGTTCTAATTTTAAACTTAGAATAAAGGATTTAACAGAATTATCAAAAATTTCTATTTAAAATCTTTATTTTTACTTCTCCAAAATAATACAAGCACTGTCTAGTTATTGCTGAATTGATATTTGTTAAGTAACTTATACCGATTCTGCATATTCAGTTATCTTACTAAGAAAAATAATTTTACACGCATTTAAAATTAATTAAACCTACAAAGCCAATTGTAAAATAAAATTTATCATAAACATTTTAGTTTTACATGTTAACGAAAGCTTTATATCAAATATGAAAAATATAGTATAAAAGTGAATAAACTTACATAACGATCCTTTAAGCAATTTTCCGTCAATTTTTAAACAATAACTGTTGCCTTTCAACTTCACTTAGCTAAGTTATTCACAGACAAAGAGAATCCAGTGCGCGAAAAAAGTTCGCCGAAACACGATCGGCGGGAACTCGTGAAAAACGAGGTCGAAACGACCATCCCTCCCGAAAGCTCGTTGCGCACTGAGAAAATTCCATGTTCACACCTTCTACGAGCTGCCGTAGTATAACCCGGATGATTTAAAAAATACGCCCACTTTTAGCCGTAGTATGCGTAATATGGTGTATTCAATTTAGCCCGTTAATATTTGGAGAGTCTCAAGGATTAAGATTGTAAAAGCCAATGCAAGTTTTTCCCTCACCGGCTAACGAGCAGATTGTAAACAAGATTTGAATTTCATTTTCTTAGTCAATTTATAAATATTTTTTTAAAAAATTCGATCATTTTTTTATTTTAATTTCGTACAAAGACTAACTTTATGTTATTTTTCTTTTATGAGTAAAACAAAAGGATGAATTAAGAGAAACCTTATTCTTGTTCCTGCTTAATTAAAATAGTATTTAAAAATCACATAAGGAAGAAAATAATACTGTTCGAAATAAGGTGTTTCGTTCGTTCTTCTATTTTTTGTAGAATTAGAGCGTGCACACTTGAAACTAAACTATCGCACAACTATTTAGTCGCGATTCGATTCCTATGAGCTTATATGAAGCGCAAACTACTCGATTTTAGTAGTGCAACTAAACAGTTAAATTGGCGAAACAATCGACAATCGCACACAATTTGTGCGATAGTTTATTCAAAGCTGTACCTCCGCTCTCATTCTTCACTAGCTGTTCCCGTGCGACTTCATTCGCATGAAATAATGAAAATTGTTTTATTGCTTACATTTGTCAATTGTAAATGTCAAAATGACAGATATGGCCATCATGTCATTTGTCATCACAAAGCATGGCAATTTCGCTTCCTTGATGTTGGCAGCAACTTATGGTCTCTTTCCCACATTAGGGTTTTTATCCAAAATATTTATCCCCTAGGTTTAACCCTTAAATGCATGATTTTTATTTAATTATGAAATAAATATTTCAGAATATACGTTTCAGTCACAGATTAGGGGAAGAGTAATTAAAAAAATCTTGGTTTTAATTAAAACTATACTTTTGTTTGTAGACTTTTGACAACAATATGCATTTAAGGGTTAATGGTGTGAAAATATATAGACTAAAGCGTGACGTACGTATTAAAAAAAGAATTATTCAAAAATATGCTGTGATTGCTGACATCTTAGGCAACAAAGAAGTGTGTGTTTACGCTTTATTATAATAGTATAGATATACGGATTTTTCCCGCCATATGCAATCGACAAATACTAAGATGGCCGCCAGGTGCAATCGTTTACATTGATATCTCGATGTATTTGAAGTCGTCCTTTGAAGTTTTTTATTTAAAATCTCTCAACGATTGACAGGAAACATCGAGGAAATTGTAAACCGAAATCGCTTCCTTTACTTGTTTAAATAAATAAACATGCATTAGCTGCAGTTATGCAATTAAGGGGTAAGCAGAAAGTATTGAAATATTGACCTAAATAAATGCATGTAATTTATATATTTATCTCACGATATTTCCACTCTACATTTATTAGTTAACTAGCTTTCGCCCGAGACTCCGTTCGCGTGGTATTAAAAAAAACAAAACCAAGTAGCCTATGTGTTCTTCCAGACTATCCTCTATGTGTATGCCAAATTTTATTGAGATCCGTTCAGCAGTATAGGCTACAAACTCTAACATCCATCCATCCATTTAAACTTTTACATTTATGATATTAGTATGAAGTATGGTGAATGGAATTATAAGTCTGTCGTTTACATTTCGTTGTAATTTTATTTTCAACATTGCAATTTTACTGGAAAGATTTTTGTGAAACTTTCGTAGGATGTTCTGGGAATTTTCTGTCAATTTATGGTCAAAAACTTGAAAAATGATTTATTTACATTACAAGGTGACAAACGAATTTACTTTCAATTGTATAAAAACAACTGGCCGTTTCCGCGCGGCTTCATCCGCATTTAATTATAAAAAAATATATTTCATTGTATACATTTGTTAAATTCTTAATTGCAAATGTCAAAATTACCGTTGCCATAAACCTTGCTTCCTTAATGTTGGCAGCTAGTAGTTTATAGACCGTTTCCCATATGCTGGTTTTACCAATTTATTTACCCCCTAAGTTTAATGAAAATACATAGCTTAAAGCCTGTCGTAAATGTAGGGCTTTTTATTAAATAAAGAATTTATAAAAATATGATGTGATTGCTGACATCTTACGCCACAAAGTAGTGTGTGTTTACCCTTTATATAGATAAAAGAGAGTCGTGTTAGTTACACTTATTTATAAATCAAGAACGGCTTTACCGATATGGCTGAAGATTGGTGAGGATGCCGGTTAGAGCCTGGAGACGAGCATAGGATACTACTACTATGTTTAGGGATGGATGTTTCTCTCTCTCGATGAAATTTGGCACAGTTGTAAAGGATAGTTGTAAGAACACATATGCTATTTTCTTTTGTTTTTTTTAAATTCCACGCGGACAGAGTCGCGGGCGAAAGCTAGTATCAGTGTAGATATAGATTAACAGTTTTAAAATCATATTAGGAATCACATACAGACAGCAAACTCGTCTTTTACCTTCCAAATGCTATACTAAAGAATCTGATTCAATGGTATTCGGCGTTTCCTTTGATGTTCAATATACAGAAATTCGTGTTCTCTTTGTGACCGACCTTTTGGTTAGCAAATTCTACCGATTACCTTACCCGGGTCGAAATACGTTTGGATCTCCAAAATACGTTGCTGAGAACTTTTTTATTAAAACCGGTTAAAGAAATATGAATCCAAGATCTATTTTAGACTATCTTTTAAACTATGTAATTCTGAATAAGTTTTTTCCATAGTTTAGTTGCAGAAAAATTACGTTCATCATCACCAGCTCACTATACGTGCTCAACGAGAGGCTCGGAGCCTACCCTAAGTAAGGGGTGACTAGGCCATAGTCAACCACGCTAGCTCAGTACGGGTTGACTTCACACATATCTTTAAATTTCTTCGCCGATATGTGCAGGTTGCATCACGACGTTTTCCTTCACCGTAAGAACGTCGGGTAAATTATGTACATATGAAAATTCGAAAAATCTAAAATCACATTGGTACATGGCGGGATTCTACAAGACCTGTAGATTACAAGTCAAGTGCTCAAACCACTGAGCCACCGACGCGTCTACATACGCATATATCTAAACATTTCGACTCTTCAATAATAACGGAACGTATTGACGCTTTAGTTAACTGAACAGCGAAAATGGAAAAAAATGTATCGTTTTTATGTACACGATAACATTTTATGTTTGACAATGAAATGTACATTCCAGTTTACGCAGACATCAAGTTCAGACACAACTGTAAAATGAATACGATCGCATATTCGATTTTATTACTAGGATAGCTGCAGAAATAATTCAAATTATCCAAATTTTACTAATATTATAAATGCGAAAGTTTAGATGGATGGATAAATGTTAGAGTTTGTAGCCGCTGAATGAATCTCGTTGAAATTTGGCATAGTCATCTATGGATAGTCTGGACACGAAGGCTACATACTTTTGTTTTTTTTTTTATTATTTCCCCGCGAATGGTGTAGCAAGCGAAAGCTAGTATTAATATAACTAGTACTTAACTGGCAAACCATATAGCAGTTTCCGCCCAGGGCTTAACAGAAAATAGTCCTGCAGGCTTGCAAATTTCTCTAACACTTAACTTATTCTTTACTTGGAGTCTTTTCAGACTCCTTGGTCACTTATCAATGACCATGTTCACAAGCCGCCGCTACACTTCCCTGCACTTAATTGCATACTTAGTTACGTAAAAAAGTGAAGTTCCCCCGAGTTATGGTAATAAATAGGGCAACATAGAAATATCTTAACTAAGATAGTAGGATAATGATGAAACCCATGCAAGGGCTATCAAATCTACTACGAATTAAACCGTAGCAATACGAGATACCTGCCCTTTAGACCTAGCCGATGTCCTACATCGGTGCTTTTATACATTTCCAAGTATAGTCTGAAATCATCGACATAAGTTAAAAAATTAAGGAAAAAATTCAAGCTGTATCTAGGTATAAATATAAAATATAAAACGTCATAGATAATAATTTGTTTTTGACATTTAATAAACTATATTATGGCAACACATTTTTTGCGCTAGTAATAAAAGTATTGTAATAAAATGCTGTTGGTTTATTACTCCATATATAATATCGTAAAAGTTATTTTGCGTGTTTTTTAGAAATCCAGGATTGTACACGAATAGTTAATTAATTTTGTACCTTTTAATAATTAGGAACATCTATTTCTCAATCTATACTAATAATATAAAAAGGAAAGTTTTGTATGTTTGGATTTTTGTATGTATTGAAATAAATCAAAAACTACTAGGCCATTTTCAAAAATTCTTTCATCATTAAAAAGATACGTTAAAGTGAGTAACATTAGACATATTCTTTACTATTTTTTTAATTTCACGCGGGCGAATTCGCGAGCAACAGCTAGTCATGTAATAAAAAGCCTATTGACAATATAAATTGTGCGTCTCCTTATTCTTACAGTTTACTTATAAATACGTGGACCCTTTTACCACAACTTAAACTTCACATAATAGTAAAGTTTGTACACTTCATTACTCATCATCTCCCCTGCCTTATCCTACTCCCGTAGGGTCGGCGCACCGGGTTTTCGTCCTCCAAAGCATTCTATCATCCGTCATCTCAGTCATCACTCCCTTCTTGATCATATCACCTTTCACGCAATCCATCCACCTCTTTCTACGTCTACCTCTACCGGTGTACCTCCACATTCATAACTAACGTCCATACACTTAACTACTGTTTAAATAATAATTGTGAGGTTATAATCTTCGTAAACACAGCGTGCATAATAACTTGACGTAGCAGAAATTGATTTAAATTAGTGCCGGTTGTAAAACTTGACTAACTCACTTTGAATACGAATGCTTATTTTGTATTCGAAGGAGATTGAAAGTAAAATTGAGGTGAATTCATTTTGTAAAATAAAAACATCAGAACCTGCTCCGAGTGAATAAACTACAAAAGC